AATTGTATGTATCTCAGGAGGTATTATGGAAGTCAGTAATAAAATGCATGTGAAATTATTTTATAAAATTACTCTTTTATTATGAATATTTTTCAAAAGATAATGGTAACTTCTTGATCATGAGCTGTACTGTTTTTCCTATGCGAAATACCGACTTTAAGATGATTGGTTGAACTAAAAGGTGGGCCTAACATTCAGTTAGGAAGGCTCTCAGGGCTCATGGGACTGGAGTGACATAGGCTAAAACTGAGGCTGGGTCAGGATGATAGATTATCTGGTATTAAAGAATATTCAAATCAATTTACTTACCTTACAGCCACCAGAGCCCTCGGTTGGTGACTTCCTTGGACTCCTCCCAGAATGTATATTAACGTTCTTTTTTGGTTAATATCCTTTGAGTCTATCTAGAAAAAGTCTTCTAGTGACTGCTCTCTGCTGTTAGGTTGTTCCTAGATGACAGGTCACCAATTAATATACTTTTTTTTGGTTGACTCATTAGTTTCCGGTCACCCTATCAATCATCTTTGTTCCTCTAGCGTTTCCTATGCATTCTGAGCTCACACTTTCTCTAAATAGGCTTCCTATTTCCGTTTTAAATTTCTCATATTTCTCTTAATTTTTATGTTCTACAAATAACTTTTAAGTGGATTTCTCTTAATTTCATGCATAGTGCCTTCCCTTGACCCTTTAATATTCATAACTTTTCATTCTAAACTTTAGCATCCCTCTTTGAAAAAAAGATCACATTTACTTGGCGAATATTGAGATTGTACACAATACTTTTCTTTATAAATCTATAGCTTTTCTCGGGAGATTAAGACCATCTTATTCAAAGTTCCCTTGACTTCCCTTCCTTCAATCTCAGAAGTTTTTAATATTTTTATCCATTCTCTCATTGATACCCTCCTTCATTTCTACATGTTCCATTCCATTTCTTAACCCATTATGGTCTGACTTCTGTCCTCGCCCAGCCATTGAAATTTTCCTGTTGATGGTCATCTTGTCAAATAGTTCTTTACTTTGACTGCCCCTTACCTAACCCTCTGTTATGTTTGATCCTGTTGATCAATTTTCTTTCCATCCTTTTCTGTTTTTTGTCTTTCCATTCTTCCCTCGTCTTCTACACCAGGGTCAGTGTAGACTCTGGGTAAACAAAGATTTATATAAGAGAGGCGGGGTGTGTGTGCGCACGCGCGCTATTCTCAAGAACCACATAGTTCAACAGGAAGACAGACAAATAATAATAAACAGCATGCTAAGAATTGTATATACGGTGGCATTTGAGTTCAGAAAAGACGATTTCCATCTAGAAACTCTCTGTCCTTGGCTTCTGTCTTACTGTACCCTTTGGTTCTCTTCTGGCTTACTCTTTATGTACCCTTCCCTTAAATAGTACAACTTCCAAGAGCTCTGTTTTTTGCCCATTTCTAATTTTACTCTTACCTTCCTATGGGTTCTTATGTACCTTTATGATGTTAAGTCTTTCCTCTATACAAATAACTCCCAAGGTTTCGACCACTAAATTCTTACCTCATTTCCAAACCCATGTCTCAAACTGAATCCTAGAAATTATAACATGGCTGTCTCACCCATACTTAACTTCAACATGTCCGAAGCTGTTTTTCTTTCCAACCATAAACACGCATATGAAAATCATTTGAACAAACAAAAAAATTCATCCTGTATTCTCTGTCTTAGTGAATTTCTTGTTTTCTCTGTTACCTAGTCTCTAGAAGTCTCTGGGTCATTTTTAACTCTTAATTCAACTCATCTTATTTCTTACCTACTGGGTAGTGAGTTAAGTACAGTATGAACAGGATCTAGTTTAATTCTTTCACTTATGAGGTGGGTATTATTTTCTGTATTCTATACATGAGAAACTTGAGGGCCAGAAATGTCAAATAATGTGTCCGAGGACAATACACAATGCCTAAGTGGCTGACTTAGGGTCAAACCCACATGGATATCTCTGCAAAGTATGGTCTTTGTCCATGACTGTTGTATTGACTCTTCTCATGGTTCTCAGGGTCTCTTATATACCAATGTTAGCACATTTAATATCCACATTTGTACTTTTATTACTTTTAATGTCTCTGTAATCTACGTGTATTTGTAACTAGGAAGATTTTCTTAATAGTGTGGAAGAACTTTTCAATGAATTAAGTTGAAACAGGGCTCAGCAAACTTTTTCTGTAAAGGACAAGATAATAAGTATTTTAGGCATTGTGAACCATATAGTCTCTGTGGCTATTCAACTATTCAACTATTCTTTGTAGTGGAAAAGCCACCACAGACAGTGTGTAAACAAATGGGCATTGCTAGGTTCCACTGAAACTTTATTTACAAAAACAGGACATGGGCAGATTTGGCCCTGGGGTCCTGAGTTAAATGGTTGTTTCACTTCCACCATCTAAGCTAACATGTTTTATTTGATTTATTCATTCATGTATTCATTTATGTGTTTAAGATGCATTGATAGATAATCTAAATTACTCAGATAAGATAGACATTAAGGTAGGTAATTGAAGATATGTAACTTGAATTTAACAGTCTTGGGTCTGTTTTAATTGAGAAGTAATTGAATTGCTCAGAGTTCTGAACTTTGTCCATGGCTAGGTATATGAGTTTTTGTAAGTTACATGATTTATTTGAGCCTTAGTTTCTTTGTAAATTGGTAAGAATAATACCTACCTCACAGAGTTCTTGAAAGGATGAAATGGAATACTACTATACCAATAGAAGTATGACTGTCATTGGTGGTGTTATCTTCCTGGGTCTCCTGTATTTTCCAGATGAACCATTTCTTATTGAGAAACTTGACAAAGGCAAATAGAAAGGAATTTACTTTTCAGATGGAAGTGGGAAAGCTATCATAGTCATTATTCTTTCTCTGTAAAAGATGATAATAGAAAAAACAAGTAATTGTTTGGGGTGGGGAGAGATGACAGTGAGGAATATTATGTGCAGGAGCTAAGTGAATGGATAAGAAGTCTGAAAATGAGGACAAGAAAATGAAACTTTCTTCAGCAAGCTAGGGGTGGGGTGAGGAGAGCAAAGCGGGGATGTGAGGATGGGGCACATCTGTGGGAACAGAGCCTAGAAGTGGGTTTGGATGTGTGCAGAGCTGGGAATTCAGAAGCATAGGGTAGTCAGCAACCCATGAAGAACTGCATCCAAAGCACCTTTCCCAGAAGAATTCTGAACTTTGTATGACAGCACCTGCCTTTGGAAGGAAGAAATGCTTTCTTGTGTCTTGTCAAGGGTGCCGAGCTGGGTAGCTAAGAACCTAACTGTGTGGCTTATGCTACAATGTATAAGGCGGCATGTGCATATTTAAAATTTATATCTACTGCAGTGACAAGTCACTGGACGCTGTAGATGGGAAGACAGATTTCTGTTGAAGCTGATCCAAAATCACTTTTCGGAACAGCTCTGACAAAAGAGTGCCATAAATGAGTAAATCCAGAGAGTTGCTGAGTATCTTTGAAAACTCACATGGAGGCAGTCTCAGAGGTGCTGTGCACAAGCTTCTAATAAGCGATCACACACACACACAATAATTTAACCTGCAGTGAGATATTGTGAGGTCCATTTATTTATTTTTTTTGAGGAAGATTAGCCCTGAGCTCACATCTGCTGCCAATCCTCCTCTTTTTGCTGAGGAAGACTGGCCCTGAGCTAACATCCATGCCCATCTTCCTTTACTTTATATGTGGGACTTTATATATGCCTGCCACAGCATGGCTTGACAAGCGGTGCGTAGGTCCCCACCCCGGATCCAAACCAGCAAACCCCGGGCTGCTGAAGCAGAATGTGCAAACTTAGCTGCTGTGCTACCGGGCTGGCCCCTGTGAGGTCCATTTTTGAATCGGGTGAACTGTGCTGCCTGGGTACATACTAGGTGTGCTTTAAATGGTCACTTGGAGCAATATAATTACCTCCTAAAGCAGCTTAATATCATAAGTTATATATTTTCTTTGTATGATTGTAGGGCCCTTGAAGTGAAATAACCACATAGTTGTATGTTTTAAAGTAACCCAATAGATGAAAATTCCAAATTTTCAAAGATGGATTTGGGTGATTTAAGTTCATAGTAAATATTTTATGAACATAGAGATATGACATCTACAGATTTTCATTACTGAAATCTCTGAGTGAATTTAAAACTTGCTTCTGTGAGAGTGGGGAAAGTACACTACGTTAGTGATCCAGAATCCTTTGCTGTTGTCTTAACTCTCCCGGTACCTTAGAGTTTGGTCAGCCATATCTGGGTCTTGGTTACTGCATCTGTGACATGTGTGGCCTATGCTAGATGACTGCTGAGGTGACTTTCAGCTATGAAATTTGGTCCTTTTTCCGTTAAATTCTAGGTATTTTTTTAAAAAAAGATCTGTTCAATACTCTGTCTTCTTCCTGCTCTGTATCCCTTCCCAGGTAAGTTTAGATCTGCTCCTGGTTTATTGTGGGTACATAGTAGAAACTTGCTCTTTTATAAAACAAAAATGTAACTGATAGGGATGCTACAATGATTATGTTTACATGACCTGACCAGATGTGAGGATAGAAAAGATTTGCCTTTATAAAAATAATTTCAACTCCCTGTTAGTATAGTCTATCACTTTGGGTAATATTTCCTTAAGTTCTTCAGTTCTTCATTTTTATTTTTAAAAATATAAAAATAACCTCCATGTGAGAGGCTCAGAACATGACATGATGTGATAAAAGAAATTTTCTTTAAATCCAAGGATCTAAATGGCAAGGGAAGAACAACTAGAGATTAGGGATCTAAAAGTGATGTGTAAGATTCCCTTGATTTAAAACAGTAAATGTTAAGCCTCTGTCAGCACATTTCCTTACTTGGATCATCTGTCTGTGGAGGAGGTGGTGGGGCAAACATAGATGCCAGTAGGATGATGGGGAGCTGATGGCAGACACGAAGGACATGTTTACTTTCTATAGAGTGAAACTTGACTTGTGCTTTGCATGTGTGCTCTTTGCAGAATTTGTGAAAGAAGTTTCTACAATGGTGTGTTCAGCTCTCAGGAGAGTTGCACACGTGCGTGTCTACCTGGTGAGGAAGGCCAGTGGTGTCTCCAGAGGCCATCAGCATCAGGCCTTGGGCTCAAGGCCTGCTGCTTCAGAGTTTGCTGCCCGAGGCGCTCCAGGTAGTGTGGTGGAGCTGCTGGGTAAACCCTACCCTCAGGACGACTACAGCAACCTCTCCCAGAAGGTCCTCTCCAGGGTTGGCAGGAATCTGCACAACCAGCAGCATCACCCTCTTTGGCTGATCAAGGAGAGGGTGAAGGAGCACTTCTATAAGCAGTACGTGGGCCGCTTTGGGACTCCGCTGTTCTCCGTCTATGATGACCTTTCTCCAGTGGTCACAACCTGGCAGAACTTCGACAGCCTGCTCATCCCAGCTGGCCACCCCAGCCGGAAGAAGGGGGACAACTATTACCTGAATAGGACTCACATGCTGCGAGCCCACACGTCTGCGCACCAGTGGGACCTGCTGCATGCTGGGCTGGATGCCTTCCTGGTGGTGGGCGATGTCTACCGGCGCGACCAGATTGACTCCCAACACTACCCAGTTTTCCACCAGCTGGAGGCTGTCCGTCTCTTCTCCAAGCACGAGGTGAGTCTTGAGACATTTCTCATCATTAAAGGACAGCATGGACATTCTTGTTGAGGTCACTAAAGTTTATCTCAGTGAAACCAGTACAGTTGTCCTTGATCTTAATTTGCATTTGTGAATCATCCATCCTCGATGATGTCCTTTGTACAGGCTGAGCCTCAATATTTTTTCACTGATTTGTTGTGTTAGTTAACTACAGAAATTGGTAGGCCTTTGTTTCTCTTGTCTGTCCCTATCCTTTCAATACCAGCCTGCCTTTCTCTAGGTTTCTTCTTATGAATAAATAGTCAGTGGCTCAAATTTACCCTCAATCCAAGGTGACTAAAGATACAACACTGAAACCTGTGGCCAGGTTAGTCCACTTCTCAGTTACTAGAAGTTAATTATGTGTTCATGCTCTTAGAGATTCATGAATTTCTTAGATAATAGAGGGAACTGGCAATTTATTATTGGCTTAGGCTATAACTACGTTCTTGTCCTCAAGCTTTTTCATTACCCTTTCTTGCTTTACATCTGTGGATGGTTTACATTTTTTTCCTTCATGAGATGTCTTATTTGTTGCTCGTCTTCAAGTGTGTATTTGGATGCCTAAAGCTTTTTTATCAGGAAGTCTGATATTCTGGCCATTCCCAAAAGCATGTAACTCCTTGCATCTGTTATCTGATATACTAATATATTGTGTGCATCTTTTTTTTTGGCAAATTATCAAAAATTATGAAAAGCTTGAGTTTATTTCCTAAAAACCTGTGATACCATTTGTTTTTCATTCATACATTTTTCAACCATCTCTACTTTTAAGTAAGAAACAAATGGAATTAAATGAGGCACAGGAAATATTTTACCTTACTCCTTCAGCACGTCTTCCAAACTTGTTCATTGAAATAGGAGGAATAATCATCATCACAAAACTCCCTCCTGCAAACACAAGCTAAATGATTGTTGGATATAAAAAGGAATAGAATAGGATCCTTAGGCTAATAGGTACCAATTTTTTGTTGTATTAAATAAGGCATGTTGTGGGAGACAGCTGTTTGCCTCAGGACGTGCTGTTATTCTCTGAATCTATGGTGTTACAGCAGTAGGTCAGCAGAAAAGGCTGTCCCAGCTTGATCTCAGAGCTGCTTAGATTGGCATTCTTACTATTTGGAATACCTGACTAGTTTCTCAGTTAGGAATAATAACTATTAATAAAGATACAGATTTATTAGGAAATGAAAAGGAAATGAACAAAGGCAGGCCAAAGTCTGGGACATTGACCAAGTGATAGACTGTCACCTACAATTAATGTGTTAGAGGAGATATGATGCCAGTAATATGATGTCCAGGTCACAGCAGCAGGAAGATGCTCAGTCCAGCTTACCTCATTAAAAAAATAAAAATAGAAAGCTCTCACTGCTTTGTAAGCCTGCAGGCCAGGAAAGTGGCCAGACAGCTTGGAGACTCACGTGAGCATTTTGATGGAGGAAAACTCAAGGCTACCTCAGAAGGTAGAAACTAGGAAGCAGGGTAGGGAATTAATACTTATCTTGTTTCATGTTCATTTTGGGTCCAGTCCAGTTTAGTGGATAGCAGGCATGGCTAATCTAGTCTGATAATGTTAACTGTATATTCTGTGTTTTAGTTAAAGAAGTTACATACACATATATGTATATATCTGAAGTGACAGTTTGATAAGGTACTTCCATGTTCATTGTTTCATTTACTCTTCTTAATAAAAACCTTGCGAGATAGGTTATTTCCACTTCAACCATGAGGAATCTGAAGTCCCACAAGGTTTAATGACTTACCAAGGTTACCCAGCCAGTTGGTGGCAGAGCTAAAACTTGAACTCAGATCTTCTGAGGTCATTGTCCATTTTGCCGTATTCTGTTGCTTATCATGGAGCTGCTTTGTAAGTGGGACCTGCTTATGCCCAAGTGCAGTTTAGTTCCAAGAATGGTGTGGGGGAGAGAGAGGTGTTGTTTTTTGAATTCCTGACCTCAACTAAAGTGTTGGTACTAAGTCTGACCTAATTTTAACTCTCAAAAAAAAAAATGTTTTTTCCTTCTTGCAGTTTATTCCCCTATGAATATGATTTTTTCAATAGTTTTATTCACGCTACATATGGTTATCTTTTAAAATTTTCCTATTATTTAATAACTTTGTAACCATTATTTTAATCACAATAAGGTGCATTTCAGCAAGAAGAAAAATGAATACAGAAGAAAAAGAAACAATGATAAGCATAGAAATGGATGAACTATGACAATATATATTTAGCTATTACTTGTGAAGAAAACCCTTTTGTGTTTCAAAAAAAGTTAAAATATATCAGTATTCACAAATTTAAATGGATTAAACTTACCAATTAAAGATGTACATTATCAGATTGGACATTTTTTGATTAGAGAAACCTGAAACAAAACCACACCAGAGGTTGAAAATAAAGGGCAGGAAAAAGATATATCAAGCAAATACTTACCGAAAGAAAGCTGATACAGCGATGCTAATATTAGATAAAATAGAATTTATGGAAAAAATGATGAATATGAATAAAGAGGGATAATACCTCAACCAAAATGCTTTATGACTTAGGAATTTTAATGTGCCCAACATATAGCCCTAATATGTGAACCAAAACTGAAGAAATGAAAGTTTGACAAATTCATAATCATAGTAGAAGATTTTAAATGACTTCAACCAATGGATTAAGGAGACAAAATGAGTAAAGATATAGATAATCTGAAAAGCATAATCAACAGGCTTGATTTACATTTATTTTTAAAATTCTCTAACTATATATGTGTATCTGTGTGTGTGTGTACAGAAATACACATAGTATATGCACACACATATAAGTTCTATACCCAAGAGTTGGAGGTATACAGTCACATGGAATACTCAAAATAAGTTCTCCATGTACTAATTGACAGTTGAAGTCTAGACAAATGTCAAAGAATCAATAAGATAAGTAGAACCATGCCTGTCTAAAATGTAGTTTATGTCAAAAGCAGTAAGAAAAGGATAATAAAAACTTTCTGTATCTTCAGACATTTAAAAATCACAGCTGTAGATTCATGAGTTAAATAGAAATATTACAGTAAATCACAAGTTGCTTAAATCAGCAATGAAAATAGTCACTTTGAACTGCTCAGATGTGGGGAAAAATAGTTACTTTGTTATGTAGAAACTTGGTAGACCCACTTAAATTGTACGATCACAGTTAACATTAATAAAGCAAAATGGATGGGATGTAGCTAGAAAGGTACTTGCAGTGCATTTAGTTTTAAAGATATTTGTTTAGAAAAATTTAAAACCCCCAAATCAATGAAATGTTTAAGATGCTAAAAGCGAACAACGTTGTTCTAAAAACGTAGAAGGGAGGAGGGTCGTATAGTTTTTAATAGTCCCAAATCTTACAAAACAGATACAGCAATTAGAATAGCAAAACCCCAAACCACAGACAGCACGTGTAACACAACTGAGTGAAAGATCTCTCTAAGATCTTCATAAATGGGTGGGAATTCACAACTGACAGCTGAAAGATCTGCACTGTGTCAAAAACTAAGATAGTAGAAGGGATCAGTGGGGCCCGAGTAGAGGAGAGTTTCCTGAGGAGTCTCTCGGAGAACAAGCTTTGGACAACCAAATTTACTAGAGGGGCTTCAACATTAACACTGCTACTAACATTGTTCACTGATGACCTCTCACATCAGAAAAAAGGGCAGCCAGGCTTAGATGTCTCCTGATGGGAGAATACAGCTATGAAGTCTTGCTAGAAAATTTGGACCTGAATCTGATCAAGTTCCCAGATCTAACTACCAAATTTGTAGGAAGGACAGAGCACAGAGAAACATGTTAAACTATACCATCGAGATGTAATGAACAAAATCCAGCCTCTGGAAAATTCTACAGCAATGCCACTCAAGATGTCATCTGCATAATGAAATGAATAGAAAAATCAAAAGTAAGTAATTAGAGATGTTTTAGCAATGTTAAATGTTTAGAAATATTTAAGCCATCATATTCAAGCATATTATCGCTGAACTTCTCTTATAGAACAGCATATGAGCTGATTCAGGTGTTCTTAAACACTCGTGAGTTTTATGAGCTCAGTCTATGTGATAATTGTGCACAATAGCACCATGTATCAGTTTGAGACTGATTGGAAATCTAAAACTGTCAGTTTGAGAAGCACTGCCCTACAGGATAAATGATTCAATTTCTTCAAATAAATTGCAAAAAACCCCAAGGGGATGGTGCTGATGCCTACGCGTCTAAAGAAAGAAACATCAACCAATCACAGTATGTAGATCCTACCAAGAGAAAACATCTTTAAAGAAAAAAACACTTAAGACCATTGAAAATAGGAACAATAACTGAATATTTGAATTTAAGGAATTAAGGTATGATAATGGTATTGTATTTTTATAAAGTCACTTTCTTTTAGAGATACTTAATTGAAATACCTGTGAGTGAACTGAGGAGATGTTTAGAATTCTCTTCAAAATAATATGGGGATTGGTCATGAATTGTTAATTATTGAAGGTGGGTGTTGGATACACAAGGAGTTATTATCCTTTCTCTTTTTGCATGTGTTTGAAATTTTCCGAATAAAGTGTTAAAGAAAAAGACTGAAGGAAAACATTGAGATCAGTCAGTCAGTCAATCAAAAAAACATTTGCTGAACACGAGCTGGGATCCAGGACTGTAAGACGGTATCAAATAGTCATAAGATGGTCCCTGGTTTCACGGAGAACACAACTAGTATGATTAAAAAAAAAGCAGGAAGCAGGAAATATTAAACATAAGAGCATACATTGCACTCAAAGAAGACCAAAACCAAATAAATCTAGAATAGCCTGTCATCCATCATTCTGTGATGATTTTACAAGAGAGTTTTTACCAAATCTGAAAGCCTCTCTTCCTTCAATCTGAGATGATTTTACACTAAAAGATTTGTGCAGTGTTTCAGAGAATAGCAAAAGAGAAACTTATCAAGCTCATTTTAGAAGTTAGAC